ACCCATTCTTTGAAACGACTCGTCATCACGGTCGAACCGATGGAGCAATTGCAGCATTTGAAATGAAGCGATCCAATGCTGCCGAGTTGTAGCAGGCGGTTCTACAGGCTCCGCCAAAGGATTCAACTTCGCTGTAACGGAGGGTGAAGCAAGCTGCGAGGAGATTGCGCACGATGCGTAGACAACCGAGCTACAATTTCAAGCAATAGATGTGCAAACAAAATTCACATTAATATTGCCTGCCTTGATGGATAGTGAGTCGCCATCGAATCGATCACACACAGCACTAAATCAAATACTTCCTCCGTTCCGGAATAAAGTACTGTATATATTTCCGCATAATTTTACTCAATTTAGTCAATACGTCACTAAAGTCGGTCAAAATGGTACAATCAAAAACAGTGCAGGCGAATGATGAACATGTCCATATTTTCAGAAACTATTCTTGGCCACCAAGCCCGAGTAATGATGTCTCAAAGTTCCAAAATACATGACAAAAATCTAAAAACTCCGCAACTCAGCCAATTTTTTTTAATTCATTCTCCTCCAATCGATCTGAAACCAAGTGGAATAGATTCCTATTGACGCGTAGATATATTTAGCAACCATCAGGACACATTCGATATTAGCAAGGAAATACGCAAGTTTTGCGATGACGCCGCCCACGACGACCAAACGACTCATCAACGCACAGCGCACCGAAGTTTACGTTCGACTGTCACTGCTCAAATCCGACGGTAGAATCAAGCGAGGAAAGCTCAAGAAGTTGTAGAATGAGTTCAAGGTGACCAAGGGTGCACTGTCGAATCTGTGGAAAGCGCGCGAGTCAGTTCGGGACCATAGCTGTGTCAACGTTCAGTCACGGATTAAGACACGAATTGGAAGGTCACGCAAGCTGTCGTTGGCGGCAATGGAAGCGAAAGTCAAAGCAGTTCCGAGGATCAAACGGTCGACGATGCGTTCCCTTGAGGAGGCCTCGGGGATAATGATGACGAATTTATGGCGCCTCTTGCTGTCCAAGGTGATGCGATGCACAAGTCGACTTAAGCCACTGTTGACAGACAAGCACATCTCTGGACCGCATGGCGTTTTTTCAACGCTACCTACGTACAAGCGTTTCTGGGTAGACATACTGGCACGACATGTTGGACACGGTGCACATTGATATAAAGATGGTTTTTACGTCTCAACGCAGAACCGAAGATACTACCTTTGGAATGACGAAGCTGTACAAACTCATTTGGGATGGGAAGATCGGCATGTGGCCCTTTGTCAAGACAAGTCCAGCTCTGTGAAACAGTAAAACCGCACCTGAATCGAAGATGTGACCGAGCCATACACGGTGATCCGTGATTTCCTCAAGTCGTTCCTGGTCGACAAAGTCATACCGGCTGTTCGTTCGAAGTGGCCATGAATGAAGATATCTCTTTGTGTGCTCAACTGGCCCAAAGCCCAGACCTGAACGTTTTGGACTTGAGTTACTTCAATGCCATCCAGAGCCTCCAACACCAAATGGCTACGTACACACTGGACGACCTTGCTATGGCTGTTGCCAGGTCTTTCGAGGATCTGCAGTCCTCTTTTTTGGACAAGACGTTTCGGGCGTTGCTGAAGGTCATGGAGTGCATTTTCAAGACTGGAGGTGGCAACAACTTCAAGTTGCCGCACCAAAAGAGAGTTGAGTTGCTTAA